ATTTTGCTGCGTTTTCGCTAGTCCGCTCTCATGATAAATCAGTTAGCTTGAAGAACATAAATCTATTTTCACATGTAGCTGCTATTGCTTTTGCTAAATATGATTTTCCAGTGTGAAATGACTGAAAACGCCATTACCGAAACTAAAGTTAATTTGTAAAAACGAAACTGGTAATAAAAACTAGTGGCAATATATATATAAATTAATTCTTTTCTAAGCCTTAGAGATATGCAATCCGACCCGTACCCGGCCCTATCCGAAGGTTGGGTACGGGTACGAAGTTGCCTGGTACGGATCGGGTACGGGTAGATCAGTTACGGATACAGGTTTCGTTTTTTTGATCTACTCGAAAGTCGGAAGATTTTAGTGGAAAACCACTAAATTTTAGTCGAAAAATACAAGATTTTAGCTGAAATATATTTATGTATAAAGTTTCAGAAAACAGTTACTTGAGAACGTAATGATAATTTGACATCTCTACCCGAAAAACAAAACTTTATAGCTGAAAAAAGAAAAGGAGAAAATTTTTAGGCATAAATTGAGTGCCGATACAAAGTTCTCGGGTCGGGTACGGATGGAAAAAAGATTTTCAGGTCGGGCACGGGTACGAAAACGGTACTCGTGCATAGGCATTCAACGGTTAACCGTTCGACTGGTTATTTACGGTTACGGTTATGATGGATTAAGGTTGTTGGTTAATAACCGTAACCGTTGCATGCCTACCCGTGCACATCTCTATCCGGCATACATAGTATCATAAGACGAATGGAAGAAAAATATAAAGTCACTAAAGTAGACTATTTGGAAAATGTTCAAAACCAACGAACAAGTTTTCGCAGAGATCGGAAAATTTTACTTTGTAATACAGTAGGGAACCCAAATATTTCAGGTTTTGAACCCTGAAATTTTTCTGTCTCTGCGAAAAGTTGTTCATTGGATCTAAACATTATCCCAAACAGGTAATTCAACGTGCTCTACAATCCAGCAGTGCCAGAATATATACAGCTGGAAGTTGATAGTGGATCTTTGGACATCCGGATTCCAGGGACCCACCTCAGAAAGGACTAGGAGTAGAAAAGGATATCCGATTCGTGATCGACATCAAAACTTACCCACGGTCGTATGTTTCAAGAGAAAAGCGATTAGACACGTGGAAAGGTTCCCGCGTGAGTATTTGTTAATGATATCAATTGTTTACTGGATGTAGCCAAGTGCCTGAATGGTATGAGATATGTACCAGCGGACAGAGAATTACTCAGAGGCGATGGATTGTTTTCAAAAAGCATTGACTATCGATATGAAGCATTTCACTGTCAATCATCCTGATTTGGATGTATTACACAATAGCATTGCCGATACTCATAGAGCCGTCCGAAATTATGATGAAGCACTGAAGCATGTCACCCATTCTCTCAAAGTCCTTAAAAAATCCCTTCCTTCTCAACACTATAAAATTGCATGGGCGTATCAAATCATGGGTAACGTGTACAAGAAAAAGGATGAGTTAGCTAAAGCACTATGTTATTATCGTAAAGCAGCCGGCATCTATTGTAATGCATTGCCAACTACACATTACTATATTGTTGAAATCAAGCAACTGATCGAGCGTGTCTCGTCACAAATGAACGGATGACAGTTGCTTATGAATTTCTACGATAGAACAATTACATTTTGAAATTGTTTAGTTTTGAAAATTATAGTTTTCTGAAAAGATGCCTGAATAACAGGTGTCCGTGCAGTTATATTTCGAAATATCCCTAATCACTGCGTAAGTCATGATGGATTTTCCTTATATAGAAACACAATAGAATGAGATGACGATTGCTTTAAACGAGTCATTTTGCTCTGTATATCAAAAAAGTCATCACGTTAACCGGAAAATTGTTGAATCCTTGTATATTTCTTCGTTCTTCTTCTGTTTTATGCCGACTTCTTTTTTAAGGAATATGTAGACCAGAGAGAAGGAAATACAAAAAAATAGCTTTAAATTTTATCTTTGAGTTAATTGCCTGACTTCAAACTCCTTGAACTTTTTGTTCAGTGAGATGCTACAGACACATATTTAAATATCTGTTTTTATCCTAGATCAGAGTATTTCAATCTCTCGCCATGTCCACGATGTGTACATTGTGACAATGAGAAACTTATTAACACATACAGTAGGTAAAGAGAGCAAGTAAGTTAGAATCACTTGTTTCGTTATATAGTCGAAATAATAATTATTTAAACGCAAGTTATCATAAGTTTAAGTTATGATTATTTGACATATAATGAGAAACTTTATTCATTATCAAATTGGTTAGACGTTAGTGCTGACACCAAATATAGTTATTCAAATATTGGTTAAGCATTAGCAGCTCTAATGATTGAACTAATATAAAAAACGACATATGATCAGTATGTCAATAAAATTGTTTTGAAACCATTGGGGATATATGTCATTTCTGCCTTTACTCTAATCTTGAACAAGACTACTATCCGTTCCAAATGGTCAGACCGCTGATTGCTTTTTGAATAACTTTTGATAGGAATGAAAAGGCTCTCTAGCTATCGTCGTTCGGGCAGGCCTCGCTTTCCCCGAGCACGTGTCTATCTCCGAGCAGACATCTCTGGGAATCTCAAAATGCCATGGACTATAGGTAATCGACTACGCTGAACATAGTAGCAACATTACGGCTACTATAACTAGCAAAAATTAAAATCCTTATATCTCGATCAAATCTCATGCTGACTCAAGGAAATTTTCAGAAAACGCTCAGGACAGCTCATAAAACATAATCGAAGACGAAAAGGTGAATGTCAGCTGGGCATTGGCTTAAGATTTTCCAGAAACCTTCTGAAAAACCTCAGAGCATCAGTGTTCTGCTGGANGCACCTTTTAAGCCTTTGATGAAAATTTCCTTGAGTCAGCATGAGATTTGATCGGGATATAAGGAATTTAATTTTTGCTAGTAAAAGGCTAAGAACCGGTTTTTCACAACAATGCCTCTGGCGAAGTTATATTCATTTCTACACAAAAACAAATGTTGCTACTATGTTCAGCATAGTCGATTACCTATAGTCTATGGCATTTTGAGATTCCCAGAGATGTCTGCTCGGATATAGACACGTGCTCGGGGAAAGCGAGGCCTGCCCGAACGACGATAGCTAGAGAGCCGGGACTTGCATAATTTTGTAGAGTAACGTCCGAACGATCAACGCATGCAAAAATTACTAACATTGTATGTTAGTTTTCTGAGAACGGGGCTGNTCGACCTCTGGAATCTTTTTAAAAGTTGCCTCCGCTTGTGAAAAGTTCTGGTCAAGTCTTGGCTATTGGACAGCGAAAATCGCAGGTCTCTATCTCATTTCTATCAAAAGTTATTCAAAAAGCAATCAGCGGTCTGACCATTTGGAACTGATAGTAGAACCTGTCGTAGCACCATCGCCTAAAACAACTCACATTTCTGGTATTCATACATGTTATTCATTCAGAAATATTCTTACCGTAAGAAACGTCATATAAATTAGAGTCTGCATACATTAGTTTTGGCAAATATCTCAATCCAAACTTATTCAAAGCGACCTCGAAAATAGGGTGAAAATGGCAATGTGTAATTGGGTAGTTTAAAAGCATTTTTTGTATCGATATTCGAATCAACTACTTATTTTATTAATTAAGATTGTTGCGTATGGAATAGAAGTTAAAAAAGGAAAAATCAGATGATAGTAAATCATATGATATTACGATTCACTCACAAACCTTTGTGTATCTCTGAGAGGTAATGCGAAGAAAACAACGAAGAAAATGATGTGATAACTAATCTCTTCCTATCTTAATATATACCTTTTACTGTTGATATAAGCTATTTTTATTCAAGAAGAAAATTAAATGCGAAAACTCCCCGAACTAATTCGGCAAACTATTACATAGCTGAGAAGTTGTCCTACATGATGTTTCCCTCACCGTGTGCTAATTAAACAAAAAGAAAGAATAGAAAGGAAATAAAGAAGGAAACAACATAAACATGTAAAATAAAACGTAAAAAATAAAGAATAAAATGAAGCACATAAGGAAACACAAGCATAAAGAAAAAAGGTAGGTAGTTACACTTACTAGGAATTCAATTGTGTTTTTAATTAAAATTTAATTATTATTTTTAATTAAATTAAATTTTTAAATTTGTGCTTTTCAAAATCCTTTTTGTTTCGCTTATATATGTTGTTATTATTTTGTACACATCTTTGTGAAGGTCGAAGTCAAAGTTTCTTCGCAGTAGTAGCGTCTGTATGTCAGTGTCAATATGGAGATCCCGTTGCTTTATTTTTTCAAATAGGTTCACTCTAGCCAAACAATAGTTGGTACAATTAAGGAAATAATGTTTAACAGACTCAACTTGCCCACGTTGACAAAGGTCAGCTCCCTGGTCAGTTGCGTATGTGTCATGATCTGTGTTTTTATCGGCTTTTCTAATTCAATCTGTCATAAAAGAAAGGAAATGACATTTATATCACTTAGATGTGATTGTTATATGTGAATGTCCATGTTTTAAATTAAATTGTTACATGTGAACTCCATACTTTACTTGCTAATTGAGAAGAGACATAGACATATATTAATGGGAGAATAGCATAAACCAAACGCACAGCACGATGCTTTAGGGACACGTCGTTCGATTCTATCCAATTCATTTCAGTTCTCTTTCTTTCGACACATATTACGAAAATATCAACGAAGTAAGTTGTGTTTTTTTATTGACTTATAAACTGCTTGCTATGTACAACATATTCTTTCCTTCATAAAAAAATACTTAATCAGAACAAAATTCAAAAGTAGGAATTTATTTTGTAACGGCCATATTTTTTGTATAAATGTCTCATCTTTACTCGGCACGTTATAAGCAGTAAAGAGCATGCATAAACTCTTTATTAAATACGGTCACATCGTTTGTATTTCTACAAAAGTACATCAGAAACACGTAAGAATTTAACAAGTGAACACTAAGCAACCTAACAGAAGTTTACGAGATGACTTTTTCCACTAAATCAACGGTTTTCTCATTACATCCTTCTACAATAGTTCTCACAGTCTCGAAAACGTTAACTTTGCCACCTTTTGGTCCCCATCCTCTTGGGTGTGCTTTGATTGCACTTGACTTCGCTCTAATTCTTTCGACATAATCTTTTAGCGCTGAGAATTTGTCGATGCTTAATCCTCTGTGGATCAGATAGGTTACAACCGGATAGAATGCACAATCGGCCAGTGTAAATTGATCACAAGCAATAAACATTGACTTTGTTGCATATGTTTCCCAAAATATGAGCTCATGATCTATCGATGTGAGAGTCTTAACGATTGAACTTTTATGAGCTGATTGTTCGTGTTCTGGTGTCTTAAACACAATTTCTTCTAGTGGCTCGTAGATGTCAACTAGATTTTGTGACTCTTGTACGCGTTGTAAAACTTTGATATGATCTGCTTTTGTGATCGGTAACAGTGAAAGAGTATGAGGATAGTATTGTTCGAGATAGTGCAGAATGGCGAGAGACTCAGTGATAATCGCACCATCACTATCGACAAGTGTTGGTGTTAAACCGCGAGGATTTATTGTAAGGAATTCGATGGATTTTGTTTCTTTGGGTGTGGACATGACTTTTAGGCGTTTCGCTTCGAAATCGATGCCTTTTTCGTGTAGCACCATCATCACTCGCCAACTTGGTATAGAACCATTGACAAAGTAGAGAACAGGTTTGCAGAGCGGAGTTGCAGTTTGCGATTGTTCAAGACATTTGCTGGCGGTTGTCATCGTCGCATACCACCTTTGCATTTTGTCGAGTGCTTCTTGATGTCGTTTCCTGCTTCGGTAACCGAGACAATCTGTCCAAATAAACACTTTGTATCCGTAAAAGAAGGCATCTGTTGCCGTTGCTTGAACACAAACATTTGTCATAAGTCCACAAATATGAATCTCTTTCACTTCGCGCAGGATATTTGCAAGTATCGTGTCTGTAAATGCTGAATAATACTTTTTACAAATGACTTGGTCTTGCTCTTTGTTCAATAGTGAATCAACTTCGGGTGCCAACTTCTCACCATCTTGCCCCGGTATGCACATCGGAAAGTTCTTATGAGTGCCAGAGAGAAAAGCATCATTCAATGGAACATTCTCGAATTGCTTGCCTACTGGCAGTGTAAGATATTTCAGTTCAGATGTTGGCGTCGAATAGTCCGATTTTATCCATACAACTATGCCATTTTGTTCACGAAAGCGTGGAAGAGCTACTTTTAAATTGGATATAATATGGTGAGCTTGGACGTGTGAATGTTTAAATGGGCCCTTTGGAGAGATAAAGTCGTTCTGAAGATCAATCACAAGCAGAGCTTTTCTTCTTTGATTCACCTCCATGCTTGCTTACAAAGTCAGAACCACTAACCTTTATACTATAATAAAATGACGAATAAATAACTATTTATGATATTTCGTCTAATGACAGCTATATTGATTTGGCTAAGATTAGTTTCTTCCTTTTCTCTTTGTGCGAAAAATGCCTAATATAGCATTGATTAAAAAAAGCCGTCTAAATGATGTAATAGGCAGAACGCAATATATTCTACAGACTATTCATTCGAAACGACTTCGAATATAAACCAAATAACAGCAAAATATGTTCACGATAAGAAACAAAGAAAATAATCGTTTCTTTTAGTGATTTCTTTTCTCCGTTCTGTTTTCTTTTATTCAATTATGACGATATTTTCGTTCGTTCGCATCGTGAGTCATTTAGCAGCCATCTTGAACATATTTATTTATTTCGTACGAAGCGTCTTTCGTTCGTTTCATCGTGACTAGAGATGTGTTATAACCTGCTGTCCCGATAGCTTATAAGATTCGGCCCTTGTACCATCCTTACGCACCTCTTGCTTCATCATGGGATTTTCCGATCTCTTTCTGTTCTTACGCAACTCATGTGCAACTCTTGCAAAACTGTTGCTCAACTTGTATACTATATACAGCCGTTCACTTTCTACAAATAAACGATAGAGTGGGAGTTGGATCTACAAAATGGCCGCACCGAGTCGTGGTGAAAAAGACGACCGGTCGGCTAGTGCACCCATTGTGAGATCCAATTAAGAACCGAAAGCGTTAGGAAAACCATAGGATGACATAAGTGTTGCGTAAGGACAGAAAGAGATAGGAAAATCCCATGATGAAGCAAGTGCTGCGCAAGGATGGCACAAAAGCAGAATCTTATGAGCTGCCGGGATGGCAGGTCATAACAAGATGTAAGCCGATCGGCTGAGCCGCACCGAATCCCAAGTTTTAAGGCGGCGCCGTCTATGGTGGCGAAAGGTCAATGGGCCTAACCGGCAGCCGACCGTTCGTTTTTTCCCTCTTTTGTCTCTATGGGAAGGAGTACTGATAACATTTTTTTACTAGCATTTTTGTCGTTCTTCTTGTTATTGTATGCGTCTTAATTCTACATGTCTTTTCCTTAGTACCGTTCCTTTGTTTTTTAATATGAAATTAGATACGATGAATAGTTAACGATGATCGTATTGAATATGATGAAATAAACCAGTATTTTTATTACCTTTGTATTATTTCTCGTCCTGAAGGATCAGCCAGCCGAAGGCCGCGAAAAATTTTGAGGAATATGCCGCCAGTCGCTGAAAGCTCTGAATTTTATCAGCCACCGCCGTTTTTTTCATCGACCTACAGCTCTAGTCGTGACATTGTTCTCTTTCTTTCTATATAAGCGTTATTTTTGTGTGTTCTTACGAAACAGACCTTCAGCCGTAAATTTCGTTTTCTTTTTCTATATACGAATATTGAAAGAACGAAAGCGAACGAATTATGCTTCGTGTGTCCTTCATCCTATCACTACTACAGACGTATTTGTCTTCGTGTAAATAGAGAAAGATCGTTCTCTTTCTGTTTTCTTTTATGTTATAGAAAGGCACAGCGGAATAAGGTTTCATTTTCTGTTGCCTATTACACAGTCGAAAATGATTCCATTCTATCGCACGGCTGGATTCTTTTGACCACATTATACATGTACGTATACAGATATCTATGCATATATTAGAAAAATGGAGAGCAATAGACTTCGCCGACTGATGAATGGAAAAGTTGACCAATGATCACGATATGTCATGCGATAGAATGGAAACTGCAAAAGAAAACGGTTTTTTTTCAAAACTTACTCTCAATCAAAGTTAAAAAGGAATAAATTATTCAATACAGTAGTGCGCGATTGAAGAAGTGTACCTCTTAAATAGGTTTTAATCTATAGTTAAAACGATTGTTTTTTATGAAAATTATAGTTTTCTGAAAACATGTCTGAATAACAGTTGTCCTTGCAGTTATATTTCGAAATATCCCTCGTCACTACGTAAGTCATGATGGATTTTTGTTATATAAAAATACAATAGAATAAAATAAATAATATAATAATAAATAAACGAAAATAAAAACCTACCGGATATTTTTATTATGATTTGTTCGAATTAATTAAGGACAAAATAGGCTTAAAACTTAGTAGTGTTTTATTATATATGACTCTTCGTTATTTTGGTATAAGTTGGCTTAAATGTGATGATTTTTTTAAGAAGATAGGTGGAC